CTCGGCGCACCACTCTCCCGTTTGATTTACGATAATTAAAGCTGACCCGACCTTTCGTCGCTGCGAGTAAAAGAATGGCAGAAACGGAGAGAGGCAAGAAAGAGCGAGAGAAGCTATTCGCTCGAGTACCGTGCCGATGAGAGAACGCGAGAGATTAAAAAGTTTTTCTCCCTTCTCCGTTACTGATTCTTTTTTTATTTTTTTTTTTCGCGTTCGTACTCGACAACTCTCTCTTTCTCTCGCTCGTAGCCGGGCCCCATTCCGCAACCTGGAACCAACCGGGTAATTGCTCGCTCGAGCGAGTCCGCCAACCAGCATTCGCGCTTGCTTTTGCATTTTTGCCCGGGGCGATTTCGCGAGATCTCGACCTCCCACCATCCTCGAGAGCCTGTGTGCCCGTTCGACCAGGGGATCGAAGGTCATATCACGGTCCGTGATCGCGATTTACTTATGATACTTATCGTCGGAACAACCAACCGCTCGGCTGCACGCGGATGAGTAATAGGTTCTCACGGAGAGACGCTGATTCCGGGCTCCTTTAGATAACGAGACGAACAGGAACATAGAACGGAATCCGAAATCAGGAACGTGACCTTTACGAGCTAGAGAAGGCTACAAACATCGACGCACGGCGAATTTATTAGTCGTAAATTTCGAGATCGCCGACGCGTCTTCCGCTTTCGCTTCGGACCCGGAATAAACATTTTCTACGCCCTCTCGCGCACGTACTTTCTTTGCTCGTAATTCTTACGCGCTACCGGATACCGGAGCTTAAAGACGGGAAATACCACGAGTGCTCCACGATATTCACTTTAAAATTTTTATAAACTCGAAGATTTTCATTTATAATTTCTTCTAAATCTTGTAATTTATAAAATTCCTAAAATCTTGCCATTTATAAAATTCCTAAAATCTTGCCATTTAGAAAATTCCTAAAATCCTGCAATTTATAAAATTCCTAAAATCTTGCAATTTATAAAATTTCTAAAATCTTGCAATTTATAAAAATCCTAAAATCTTGCAATTTATAAAATTTCTAAAATCTTGCAATTTATAAAAATCCTAAAATCTTGCAATTTATAAAATTTCTAAAATCTTGCAATTTATAAAAATCCTAAAATCTTGCAATTTATAAAATTTCTAAAATCTTGCAATTTATAAAAATCCTAAAATCTTGCAATTTATAAAATTTCTAAAATCTTGCAATTTATAAAAATCCTAAAATCTTGCAATTTATAAAATTTCTAAAATCTTGCAATTTATAAAAATCCTAAAATCTTGCAATTTATAAAATTTCTAAAATCTTGCAATTTATAAAAATCCTAAAATCTTGCAATTTATAAAATTTCTAAAATCTTGCAATTTATAAAAATCCTAAAATCTTGCAATTTATAAAATTTCTAAAATCTTGCAATTTATAAAAATCCTAAAATCTTGCAATTTATAAAATTCCTAAAACTTTGCAATTTATAAAATTCCTAAAATCTTGCAATTCATAAAATTTATAATAATCTAAATTTCTAGATCCTAAATTCCTACATGTCCAAATTCTTATCACCCTAAGTTTCATCTAAAAATCTTCAAATCCTATTATGACATTCCCAAATCCCCTAATCCCCAAATCTCCACCCTTTCACAAATCGGTAAATTTCAAATTCCAAAATATCCAACGTGGAAAATCCTTTCGGTAAATAGTTATGATCACGAAAAGCATTTGTTGCGTTTATGTACTGCACCGAGTCGTAAACTGGTGACGGGAAACACGGTTGATTTTTAGTTTATCGGCTATAACGCAGAGTATATTTGCTATAAGCTAAGGGAAATTGGTTCCCAGGTTTAGGGGTATTGTATGAAAGATATTGAGTCACGATAATAAATTGTTGAGCCGTTTCGAAAGTGGTGATCCTGAAACTGCTTTCATGGCTCGGATGATTAATGGTTCGGTATACTTTTTAGAGGTTGTGTATTGAATCATTATTTCTCGAGATTATGTTCTATTCGTTTAACCGAGAAGAGTCAATTGGTTGTAATTTAAAGCCATTAATATTTACCTTGTCTTTCGCTCGTCCGTCTGTGATTTCATCTCCCCGACAGGTTCTGTCTTTTAAAATGCACTTAAAGTCACAGCTTCTACGATCTAATCAGAAATTTTACCGACTAAATAAATCAGCCAAAAGTTTCACTATTTCATCACGCGAGTTCTATCAATCACGTTAATTTGTAGCGGCATAGTTGCGTCAACACGGTTGAATTCTCGTTTAATTTAACGCGGTCCTATCGCAACAAACGTAACATGAATCATCAGGGAACAACGGGGTTCGCGAGAAATCTAGAGCACGAAATTCGCCAACTCGGAAAAAAAGGCGACGAGGAAAGGAAACTCTCTCTCTCCTCCGTTAATTATTTAACGCGGCTAATATTTTTCACGGAGCGACGCGGCGCGCCGGGACGGCGTCCAGCCGGAATTATGACGCGATATCGCGTCGCGATAAATCGCCGGGGTAATTATTCACACGCGCTCACCTGCTCGACCACGACGACGACTCGCTTAGGCGCCGCCGACGATACTCTCGAGACGTTCTTGGGAAAGTGGCGTCGTGTACGCGGAATCGTTAAATGTCGACGCGTGTAATTTGCATCGCGACGAACTGCGGCAAAAATACGCGGCCGAGCTATCGAGAACTGTAATTACGAAGCATTAGAAAACTCGCGACGTGTGATTATCCGTTGATAAGTCACCGTCGGATTAAGTGTTTACTGCTTGGGACTGAATTTCTGACGACCGGTGACACTAGGAAACGCGACAAACACATTCGTCTCACCGTTTTTTCCATTCTTACGCCATTTTGCTCGGGGTTCTGTGCTTAATAAATTCAATAGGCGGTTCTTTGTAGAACTTTCACTTTGAATTGCAGACTCGTGTTTATATGCAAATTACATGTTCCCATGAAATATTTACTGTTTTCTGGTACATTAGAAATATCATTCGCGTGTTCTGATACGTTTATGTCCTTCAGTAATGCACAACACCCTGGTATGCATTTATTGTAAGAGCATACAACTCCTTTTGGACACATTTGTAATTCGTTATAGCACTCCCAACTACTTTAAACATTTATTTAATGGGACAATATTTAAATATTTTATTGAATCTTTTAAAACGCGTCTTTTACAATTCAAGGATGGCAAAGGACTGGTAACAAATCAATTAAACATTAACGGCATTTCCAACGATCATTCGTCTCCACTTGCAGCACCTTCATTCGCTCCATTCACACTTCAAGAAATTATAATAAACATATAACGAGTCTTACAAATAATATTAAACCAATAAATGCCTACATCATATTAGTTTTTTTATTGGTTAGATATTCGATATGACATTTGTCAAATCTACACATTACTCCAGTTATGCCAATACTAAACGATTCTCATTGCATCGAATTTGGTTCGAAACGTTCATACATTACCGTCTATCAGCAACGCTCGTATCATTGTAACTCAGCGTTAATTACTCGATTCATCCGCAAAATTAACTACGCTCCTCGACGAGCTCTTCAGGAAGATTTAGAGTACACGATAATTCACCGGCTTGATCTGGCCGCTTCGAGCTACGTTCCAACCTCTACCGCGAACTTTCTATCGTTATATGTAACAATGTTTTTTTTCTTTCTCTCATCCATCGCCATTCATCATCGCTCGTCGTAGCGCGATGACGAGGCCCGTTGGATGTTGAGGACGCTAATTAGTCGGCCACGTGGTACCGCGAGAGAGTTAGAGCCGACGAAGAAAGCGGAGAAGGCAACCTCCCTTTCGCATAAGGTCGCTTTAAAACTAGCTCCAGGGGAGCGTAATCCATCATCGAAAACGGCCGGTGTAACGTAACCGGTCGGTTATGCCCACCACTAATCAACGTTGCTGACTTGCCGTATAATTAGATCTGCTCTGACCCCCCGCGCTACTCTTTTCCCATCGTCAAACGTGTTGCTCGTGACTAGTCCCGTGAACTTAGGATACGGCCATTTTTTTCTTCTAAGGGGAATCGTAGAAAGCAACTCCCCTCCTCGACGGGTTTCTTTGGATAGGGGAGAAACTTCGTCTACTTCGACTTCAAGGAATTAGATAAGACGAGCAAATCTACAAACTTCAGAAACTTTGACAATGTTTCGAAGTCTCGTGAATTTTCAAAGGCAGTCCCAAATTCTCTAATCATCTAACTTGAAGTTTCCTAATACTCTCAAATCTTGAAACTCTCAAATTATTGACTTTTCAAGTTTGGAAATTTCTGAACATCTGTTACGATTCAATTTAATCTTAAACACGCAATAAAACTTTACTTGTATAGAATGTGCTGTGTTTACAGCGTGAAAAACAATGTTATCTTCCACATTAACCCAATCGCTGCCAAGCCTAAATTATATTGCCATTTATATTTATATTTTGAGTGTTATTGTTTACCAAAGCTCTATTATTTCTTGGTAAACAATAATTTATTAATAATAAATAAAAAATAATAATAATTTATTAATAATTTATTGTTTTCTCGAATTTGCTAATTCAAAAGCCTGCATGTTATAACATATCTAAAGTAGGGCGAGTATACTCGTCTTGGCAATGCATGACATCCTGCAAAAGGCGAGTATACTCGTCCTTGGCAGCGAATGGGTTAAAATGCTACATATTTCTGTCGCATCTGCTGGGAATAACTCTGCCATTAAGCTTCGAGCGAGTTTTAATTCGTAATCATCGAGTTAATGCAACTGTCCCTATTGAAAAGAGCTTTCTTGGAACAAGTCAAGGCTTATCGAACAATCTGCGTTATTCGAACTCGGTCGGCTTCGTTTGACACGAAACATGAAAAGGTCTTCGATCTATGAAGAGTGGCGCCACGTTGGTAGCCACGCTGTTAACTCGACGATTAATGGCTCCACGCGATCATCCTATTTTCTCCCCCTTCCGATTCGATTGTCCCTGGAGGACCGAGGTTAAACCTTACTCACCTTCGCCGGATGTGAAGGGTCGCACCAGGCCCGGCAGCAACACGCAGAACAACAGGAACAGGGAACACGATTTCGGCCTCATCGTGTACGTGTCGCGGTCATTCGTTCATTTTATGTCGAAAGGAACGCGTGAATTAGGGTTAAACGTTTCTCGCACTGGTCACTGCACTTTCACCCCTGGAACCTTGTGGGGATGGTGGATTACACCTGTCAAACAGAACAAAATTATTTTTATAGGGACGAAATAGTGCGTTTTAAAACTAAAATCTAAACGAATGAAGTCGACGGTAATTTTCTGAATATACGGACGGAATTTTGTAAGAAAGGCTTTTGAATTCTGCATATTTATTCTGTGCGAGCTTTGTTCCCAAATAAACATCATACGCTGTGTACGTTCATTACGAAATATTTTAAAACGTCATTGTTCGTGGGGATGAATTAACGTTGCACGAGGGTGGTGCCCGACGTTGGTGATTAATTAAGGTAAATGAAGCAGCAACTTTTCTACGCGCGTCGAATGTACAGAAAAGTTGACTCGTCTAGAAGCCTAGTCAGCACATTGTCAAATTCACGATTGAAAAAGCACATTTTCATATTTCCATTCGTCCGCGTATGAATTGAACTTCCAGATCGCTCAATGAACCTCTTCGAGCAATCTCCGTCGAGTTCTGCAAGTACAACTTCTTTCAACACGAACCCCCTCGCCGAGTATCAAAATACGCGATTCGTTTCCGAAAAAAAAGTGAAAGGAAGTTACAGCGGTCGATTCGAAGAAGCCAAAGTTCGGCTTCCCTCGTCGAGGGGTGCGTTTTCACCGAAAATACCGGCTGCTCTTTTCTCGAAAAACGAAAAGAAAAGAGGGAAAGATGGAAAGTTGACGGTGGCACGCGATGAGGGTAAAACCGCGTCGAAGCAGGGACTCCCGCGGATTTAGCGTCTGCCCTCTGTTGTTTCCACCGGAAAACGTAAAAGACGGTTAGGAGAGGCAAGAGTGCCACTTAGGTACCGGCTGGCAACCCTTGCCGCTTAAATATTCCGCCGGTGCCGCGCACTTTCTCGCACGCGAAATTTCATCGTCGCGACTTCGAAACCATCCACGATACGCTGCCTTGTAATTCAACCCCTTGCAACCCCCTTTCTGCCGTTTTGCGGTGCCTTCATTGGCGTAGTTGCCTTTTTTATTTTGGATGAGCCACTGATGTTATTAACGGAATGCTGGAATTTTGGAAATTGGGGAGTTGGTGATTCAGAAATTTGAGTATTTGGGAATTTAGAGATGTGAGAGTTGGGAAGTTTGGAAATGAGGAGTGGAGAATTTGGAAATTGGGGATTTTAGGTGTTTGGGCATTTGGAAATTGGGGTAGATTTGGCGGTGTAGGAATTTTGGGAATATAAAAATTTGGAAATATAGGTGATATAGAGATTCAGACATGTAGAACTTTGAGTACACAGGACTTTAGGGATACAGTGATTAAGAGATGTAGAAATTCAGAGATGGTTAATTTCTGGATCTCAGAATGCGAAGATCCGTAAATTTAGAAATGTGTAAAGAAACCTAAGAATCTGCACCCTTAGAAAATTCGAAAATCCTAAACCTACGTTTTCCAACCCCGTTTCACAGATATGAAAGAAAGAGGGTGACCGCCATATTGAATACACTATTTATAATATTCAGCAGCATTTTATAGAATTGAATAGGAAGTAGCAATTAGCGTTAATTAGAGAGAGTACACTGTATCAGTTTGGAGAGATAACATCAGCTGCCATGTTTGCAAAACGACGAGTAACTAGTTGATACGATGACAGAGATTAAACTGCGGTTTATGCTTCCTCAGGGGTGCGATATAGTGATACTGTGCGGTATCGCGTTACTGCTTTAATGAAGTTGGCTGCGGAGGTAATACTCTTCGAATGTAATTAATTATTCTGGTCAATCAACGCGTTCGCTACCGCAGTGAAAATTGCGCGTAGAAATTAAAATATTCAAATATTTTAATATGGCACTCGTTATATTAAAACTTTCAACGCCACTATGTCATTCGAAACTTTGTAACCTTCTGTTTATGTTTCAACGAATTACACACTGGAGAACCTCGCGTATATATTTTAAGATTGATGGATTTTGGTGAGAGCATAATGAAACAATTATGAAATGGCAAATTGTAAAATCAAATTATATGCCATTCGCAGCAAACGCGGATATATTCATTATCAAAGCGAGCGTTCTGGTCAAGGCAAGCTAGCTATTAGAATTCCGACATACAAACGATGCTAATGATTCTAACAATGTTTCTAATGAGGTTAACACTGCGATCAATTACGAAAACAATTTTGTCGCTAAAACATATATAACACTATTTCTGTATGAACAATTTGTTCAAATTACAACCTTGACAATATCACAGTTGCAATAAAATTCTGCGCAGCCTCTTAAAATCTGACCAACCTCTGCAAAACTGATCAACCGTTATAATCTCGCAGTCACTCCAAAACAGGAATTCCACAAAGACTATTATCGGCTCGCATGAAAATTCCACATCGAAACAAAGATTGTCCCTAATTGAAACGTAAGTCGAACGGACAGTCAGCACGCGTGGTCGCGTCTGATCGAGGGTGAGCCGTCGAATCGATGATAGCCGGCCGTTATCTGTAGGACGCAGAAAGTCGATGAAACCGCAGGAGAAGCAGGATGAACACGAGGGAAGGTAGACAAGGGGGGTTCACGTTCTCGGGAGATTCATGACGCGGAATAATCCACGGCGAGGAGCCGTGGAACGCGCATTATGCGAGCGTATCGGCGTCCCTACACAGATTTCCCATCGGCGAGCGTCACAGAGAAGGCCAGGCTCTAATCCTCCAGGACGAGGACTCAATTTATAAACGTGCCCGGTATTACCACTTAAAGGCTTAAAACACTCGACACCGTGCGCCAACGAACACATGGCATTTCACACTGCAATTGCCACGAATGCCCTTGCCCTCACCTAAGGGATAAGCCCGAGTGTCGAGTTCGCTCGGCTGCCTCCCGGAAAAGCTCCACTTTCTTTTCACCGAATCTGCCGACAGCGGAATCGCCTTCTTCGCCACTTTACAAGCCGCCCTTGTCGCGAACCTCCTGCTGCGACCATTTTCCGTTGACTCTCCACGGCCAATCTCGGTATATGGCTCCGTTCAAGCGGAGATTGTACAATAAGGCTACGTAAATACTACTTATTATATACAACTCGGTTGCAGCAACTTATTTTATAGAATGCTCGGTTGCTACTCTTTTAAACTTTTTCACAAAAATTTGATCATTCAGTCTTTATAAATGCAACTTATTTTATACAACGCTCAAGTGCTACCCTTTTAAACTTTCTCACAAAAATTTGATCATTCACAGTATTTATAAATGCGATATTATATACTATGCTCAGTTGCTACTCCTTTGAACTTCCTGACAAGAGTTTGACAATTCACAGCCTGAATAAATGCAACTTATTTTAAACAACGCTCAAGTGCTACTCTTTTAAACTTCCTGACAAAAGTTTGACAATTCACAGCCTGAATAAATGTAACATTATATACAAGGGTTGATTGCTACTCCTTTGAACTTCCTGACAAAAATTTGATAATTTATAGCCTATATAAATGTAACATAATATAGAACTCTTGGTTGCTACTCCTTTCTACTTCCTAACAAAAACTCACTACATCTACTTCCTAACAATTCACAGCCTATATGAATGTAACATTATATAAAACTCTTAGTTGCTACTCCTTTAAATTTCCCGACAAAAATAACTTCATCTGAGAAAATTAGATATGTCAAGAAGCGTAAATTCGTCAAACCGGAGAATTTGTGAATTAACGTCCAAATCCCTCAGCAACTATAATGAAGTAACTTTGAGTATGCATGGAATTTCCTACAAAGTTTATCAGGCCATATAGCGAGATTGCTCCATATACAACTGCAAACGCTTGAAAATTCAGGATACCGCGTGACAACAGGTAGGGAGAAACGAGCTGCATTCTCCAGAGTATTCTTGGGCTACCAGTTTACGAACATGTTTTCCCTCGAATGTTTCTATCCCGTGGTCAGGAACCATGGCGCGTAATACACGCGTGTGGCGGGTGCGATACAACGGAAAGTCTTATCGATCGCACCCTAGGTCTCGCGAGAGGTTCCACGTGAAATTTCAGCGATCCGAGGGGAATGGATTTTATTAAGTTTGCCGGCTCGATGGGGATGAAAACAGACGGGAAATGCGGTTTTCTTGTACGACTCGGTATCGCGGTTCCTGCACGCTGAATATTGAAATTTATCGATCACTTATTCTACCTTTTTGGGATTATTCTGATTCGAAGTTTTGGTATGCTGGTATGGTTAGACTGAACATATGTAGAGGTTTAGAAAATAGCTGCATGGATTTAATATTTGCAATTGGATAAAATAGTTGAACGTTTAATTTTAATCAAAACAAAGTACACAATTATGCAAGATAAAAAGTGGAAAGTTCAAGTCTGAAATACAAAGTATTCTGAATAATTATGATCTACCTTCACAATAAAATACCAAACATGTCCACATCTATTGTGACAATCAATTCAACGTACCACCGTATCAAAATTGACCTATTCTCAACTGACAATTTTACTCCAGATAAAAATCGAACCACCCAGCAAATTGAACCGAATTTACATAATATCTCGATCATAGGAAGTTTCTGAAAATGTCCACCCATTACAGAGATTCCGCAGGCTTCTTAACATTCCGAAAGAAAATCGCAAAAGTTGAGAAAGTCCCAGTGGAAGTTTCTATAGTTTCTTCTGGATGTTATATGAACATCTTGCGTCTCGATCCGGTTCGACCCCAAGTTTCGGAGCAGATCGATGGAGGCCCTCGAAAGAAAGCAACCCCTCGAAGATCGCGGGATTCTAGAGACAGCGGCCAATTACCTCGGCCATAGAAACCGCCGTCGTATTATTTAGGAAGTTCGCCGTGGATGTTCTACGGCCAGTGCTGTTATCTAGCAGTTATAAAGCACGCCGCAACGTTTCTAATGCCCCGGGATATCACGTGTTTCGCTTTGCACTTTATGCGAATTGCAAAGTATACGGGAGCCCCTGAATTCGCGATAAATTTGCACGCATTTGCGTAATGGCATTACGAATTTCCCGTTTGTAGTTGAATTCGAAAACGGCACGTTAAGTCGTAATTTAAGTTT